TAAGTATGTATACATGTAATATTATTTTAATTTACATTATCTCATATTTTTTTTCCCAAATTTATAAAATTTTCTTAAAAAAGAACACAAACGCATATATCATGCGCAGTTTATGCTTATAACTATGCATAAGTATGTACAGTTTATATATATATACAAAAATATACATGCATTCATACATATATATATAAAATAACAAAATTAATGAAAATCATTAAAGCTGTACAAATTTTAATACGTGTTCCTTGTACTTAAATAAAAAATAACAAAAAGAGAAAGAAAAATAAAACAAAAACAATAAAAAAAATTTTATAGAAGCCAAGAAAAGAGAAAGATATATATGTATTCTTATTAAAGTGTTGGTGGGGACTAGTCGTATTCGTAAAATTTTTATGGTTGTTTTGTTCATTTCAATAACGTATACGAAATTTTTTTACAAATATGCTGAATTAAGGGGAAAATATTTTTTCTTGCTTTTTTCTTTTTTCATATTAAAAATATTTCCCACCATATTATGCTGCATATGTATATTTTTTTTTGTACTGTTTTCTCTTTCCATTTTCTGAAGCAGCAAGAAAAGCAGTTTAATAGGAACGAATATAAAAAAAAAAATTATATTTTTAGAATATTATTGTTGTCTCTTCCTAACTCAAAAAAATAAGGCTAACGCCATTTTGTTGCGCTAGTGTTAAAGTTTTTTTTTTGTATAAAATTTTTTAGATTTTAATTAAATTTTCATATAAAATAATTTTTAAATGATAAAACAAATATGAATGAAAACCAAAAACAAATTTTTAAAATTAAAATTATTTTGAAGGAATACAAATATGTATACACATACATATATATGCATTCGTGTTCATACCTAAATACGAGTGCATATGGATGTATGCTTGAAGCTTGACCTAAGTACACATGTGTGTACTTACATTTTACGTAGTTTCAATTTTACAAATTAGTTTCTATATATTCATGCATGAATACTAATAAATTCAATTTCATGCACCTTTAATTAAACTATGAAAGAAAAATATCTGTGTATGTATATATATACATATGTATTATCATATGTACATATATTTCACTAGTTTTTTTGCCACATTCGCGATACATATTTCATACTTTTAAGTATGCACATGCAACCATACATAGTATATTGATTGGAAATAAAATTATTCAAAAATAATAATGACATAAAAATAAACAAAATATGTATGTATGTAGGTAATTAATAAAAATATCACACAAAATGTAAATGTAGGAAACAGTTTGAAATATTCCAACAATATTTTCATACACAATCGCACAAATGTATATATGCATACCTGTTTAGATAGATATTGGGTATGTAAATGTCAAAAAATTGTTCGTACACCATTCATTCCATTCATTTACAAAAGACCGCTTCTGAATACCCAATAATTTTAAAATTCAATATAAATTTTTATAATTCAAAAAATGTTTATTTTAAATTTAAATTAATTTTTTTTTAATTTTTGTGTATATAAAAAAGTGAGAGTGATATAACGCTGTTCGCCAATTTTTTTTTATCTTTTAACACGTCTTTTGAATTTGTTATTTATGTAAAAAGGTAAAAACTTTTTGTAGAAAATTCGATATTTAAAAATCAATAGATAAATTATTGTTATACATTATGTTGCTTATACAAATAAACATTATACATTATATATTTTTGTATATATATAATATATACTTATATGAGTATAATTCATAATAAGCACTCGCTAATTTTAGAGGCTGGTAAAGAAATATTTTACTTAGTTTATCATTTTTGTTAATTTTAATAAAAACTAATTGAGTTACGTGAAATATATTTTGTGTTTAATTACTTGTAATATAAATATTAAAGAAATAAATTAAGAAACTAGCTGTCTAGCAATGTCATATACAAAATATTTACAAAGGTAAACAAAATGAAAAGTAGGAACATGTGTTAACAACAAAATTCTTCTGTTTTAAATAATTTAAATTATTTTCAGTGTCTATCTATCTAAAATCTAATACCTTGTCTAAAATCTAATACCTTGTCTAAAATCTAAATTATATTTCTGAAGTTATAAAAAAATTTTATATTGAATACCTATAGGCAGTACCTACATATTTTTCTTTGAAATAATTAAATTACGAATTAAACATTTTTCTGGATAGGTAAAATAATTTGCCATTCAGTCTATTCATAAGTATGTCGGAACATAACGATAGGCAAATGAATATTGAGTGGGTACATGATTATGCTCATAGGCACCTGTAAAATAATTTCCAGACAAATTTCTTGAAAACAAATTTCTTTTTTATTTGGTAAACCAATTTAATTGTTTTATTGCATTTGGACAAAAAATTTGGACATTTTTTGATTGCTTGATCCACAATTTTTAAGAAATAAATATTGATTATTGCACTAGATTATTCTTAAATCTTACGATTTGTTTTTATGTAAAGTTGACTTTTTAAAATTGAATGAATTATTAGTATTTTATTATTTAAAATACATGCATAACCCTACGTAATAGTATGTTATTTGTTTACATTTTGATTTTTATTATTGTTTTTAATCAAACTTCCTCAACATGTTGTTTTGACACTTGATTAAAAATCATGTGTGTTTTTGTTTACAAAAAGAAATGAATATATACATATATGTACGAATATATATATATAATTTCAATAATATATACTACAAAATACATGGTTTAAATACAGACTCATATATATATACATACATACAATCAAATTTATTTATTAATTTTACCTAGGTGTTTTTTTAATGTTGTATTTATAACAAAAAAAAAACACATTTTAAACATGTATACATATGTGAATTAAATACATGATACATAAAATATATCAAAGCAAGCCTCTAATATTTTATTGTAGTTAAATATTATTTAAATTTGAGATAATAATGACGATGATATACCAAAAAAAAAACATTTACTTGCATAGCATATTTTTATTATATAATTAAAAGTTGGATATAGGACTGTTGTTGGGTTCTGTATAATATTAAGTAACCATTAAAAAATTGCATTATAAGAATAAATAGAGAGTTAAGAAAGAAAGAGAGTGTGTATATGAAGAATTTAAAAGAAAGAAGGGAAACCAATAAAATTATAAACAAATACATTACACATATAGGGTCGGTCGGTTGGTCGGTCGTGTAGGTATTAAAAACGTGATTCAAAAGAGCATTTTTGTTTTGTTTTTTTAACAAGTGTTAAAATTCTACTAACAATATAATATTATATATTCTACACATAATAACTTTTAATACATATATGTAGTAGAAAATATTTTATATAAATATATGTAATGACATTTTTTGTATATTTACATACATATAATATCTCTTACACACATTTGTATCTACTGTATGTGCATGCATATTATTATTATATAGAAGAAAATAATATGTGACCTATGAAAACCATACATATCGAATCGCATGAAACTTTTCAATAAAAACAAAATTGTGTTTCTATTCCTACGCAAAACATTTTTAAATATTTTTTTGTTTTTCTTTTTCTCTACTAAATAAGATTCAGTTATGTATGCATGTTTTATTGGAAAATTAGTATGTAAACGTGCTGACAGATACACTACCTCTATGACGTAAAAGTATTTGTATATGAAAAAAAAATGTGTTTTTTTTTAACTTTCATTAATGTTTTGTTTGTTAAAAACTTTAACTTGAATTCTATGTGTATAAAATTATACGTTAATACATCAAAGCTGTAAGTAAGTTCATACGTATGTGCACAATATGTACATATGTAGGAACATTACATTTTATGATAAGGAAATAATATATGTGTGTATGGTGGCTATAATTAATAAAAATTCTGGTGAAAAAACTTTTATTTTTAAACTGATAAAAGTTATTAAATTGTAGAGAATTTATTAAAAAAAAAACAAAACATAAATTTCTTAATTTAAAACCTTTTGTGTAATTTTGTTAAATAATTGCTATTTTAGAAAAAAAATTGTAACTTTTAAATGTGAAATCTTGGAGAATGTTTTTTGTATATGAAATTTGTTTACAAAATTCGCATGAATGTATAAAGGATATTTTATTATAGGATAGGACTAGTAAGTATAAAAGTATAAAATGAGGATTTTAATTTTATCGCATACTAAAGAATTTTTTGAATTTATTTATGTATGTATATAAATGTTAGTATGTTGTGTCTCATGTTTTTTGTATACATACATATATGTATGTTTTCTTTCTTTTTTTTTTTGTATAAAAAATATAATATTATTAAAGTTTTGTGTATTGCACATAATAATAATATAATGTGTAAAGAAAAAGTGAATTTGTACAAGAAAACATATTCTAGTTTTTGTTTTTTTTTTTTATATTTAAGGTCATATACATACAACGTGTATGTATGTATATATGCATGCATACCTTGTTATTTAAAAATTGTTATGTAGTTATATATATATATATATTATGTTGTGTTTAAATTGTACAAATGATGTTCATATTGTGTGTAATTTATACGTAGCTTCACACATCAGCAAAAAAAGTTTTTTATTCTGTGAATATAGAATTTTATACTCGTTTTTCTTTTAAGAGAATAAAAAATGTTTTTTTAGGATATCAAGTATGTGGGGGTTTTGTTTTCATTTTTTCTTCTTTTCATCATTCTTGTATATTTTCTATTATTATAACATTATTAGTATTTTAATACCTACAAATAAATGAACTGTTTTGGAATGAAAAATGTAAACATTCCAATCAGATTCGATGAATTTTTATGAAACAAAAAAAAAAAAACAAGAAGCAAAAAAAAAACAGGAGTTGAGTATATTTTTGTCAACACAACCAATACAAATATACAAGCATAATTTTGCGCCAAAAATGTAAACAATTCTGTAATATTATGATTTCATTATTGACAAAAATTAAACGAAAAAAAAAAGAATGATCGAAATTTCATATTTTTGTAATAATATTTTTAAAAATAAGGTCTTACCGCTTCACTAACTGTATAATTTATATTTGGTGATATTTCGACGACACTTTCATTCCTAGAGTTGTCAGCAAATCCCCATGTATAACCAAAACTAGTTGGCGCATTACTTTGTGCAGCACACATTTTTCCTTAAATAAATTTATTTTCTACTTTTTGTTTTTTATGAAAATTTCTGATGAAATTTTAAGTAATTTTTGATATTATTTTTGATTTAGTTTCAAATTTCTTTTTTGATGGGTCTCTCGTTTTTTAAATTAATATTTTTTTTTCCTTTTCCTTACAAACTGTCTAACATTAACGTAATCATTTTAAAATTGCTTTTTTTTTATTACACTTAGTTAATAAAAGAGTTTGAATTAAAGACCTTTTTAATACAAATTCAATGACAATTTTCTCTGAATAACCAAGCATGTGTTACTTTTAATCTTCTATTAATATTTTATTGTAATTTGTAATCGTTGAAATCTTATGATACAATGAACAACTTTTAATAAAAAATCAAAGTCTATTTCATATATTCAAACAAAACTTTGAATTTGCCTTTGCCTTTAGTTTATTGCGTACCAAAAGTTATTTTTTAAACCAAATGATCACTTTTATTTTTTCTTAATCTCTTTATAAACTACTCTCATATAAAATATAATTATTCAAAAAAAAAAAACTTTATTTTTGTCACAATTTGGTAAAATTTTTATGTCTTAAAGAATATAATTTTTTTAATTTTTCTTTTAGTTTTTAATGAATTTTATCAATATTGAAAATTTATCCACACAGAAAAAATTACATTCTTAATACGCCGCCATTTTTATTTTGGTAGCAGCAGCAGCAACATTTACACAAAAAAAAACTTTTCATTAGCAGAAAAATGTAAAATATTTTTATTGTGTTTTTTTTTTTTTTAATTTTGTTTTTGTAGTTGATTTTTACTTTTTTTTTCTTTTAATTGTATTTTCTCAAATATCTGATTCCAACACACCTATCGCTGTCGTGGATGTCGTGTGACTGAGCAAATGAAATTTTTTAAAAAAATTCAAATACAAAAACATCTCCGGCTTCAATTTACATAGGTGTGAATGAAACAGAAAAAAATGCTACTTTATTTTGTTTTGTGTTTTTTTTTTTGTATTCAGCTAGCGGTCTATAACAACATATTGATAGAGATGGAGGCATAGTATAAGTGCTTTGTCTTTTTTTTGTGTGATGTAAACATTTTTTATTATAATTTGTTTTGTTTTTTTTTTTTTGTTTTTGTAATTAATGTAGTATGTAAAAAGCGATTGTATTTGAATTTTTGAATAAATTATAATTTTCCAGAGCAAAAGCACACAAATATTTTTTTGATGCGTTAGTATATGATTATTAAGCATATACATATACTTGCATTTATAAAGTACAATAAACACTATGATAGAATCGCGTCAGGTCACAAAGAGAAATTCCACATAAAAAACATAATAAAAATAACTATGAGCTAGCTTCTTTATTATATGATTCTTTGAATAGAAGGCTCTATTCCTTTGATCGTGTGAGATTTTTCAATTCCTTTTATAAAATAATTTGTTTTGCTTGTATAGTTATACATATACATACATATATATGTGCACATTAGTTCATTTCTAAAATATTTTTTGTAAACATCATTCAAATATTGAACATAATTTCAGATTTTACTGTGTTTTCATTAATCAATCTCATTGAAAGCATTAACATTAAATATATCCGAGCATTCACAATAAAATCTTACAATTCACAATATTCTTTTATAGTGATACTAAAATTCTTACCGGGATTTGTTACCATCTGATTTATTAATAAGTATTCACACGCTTTTAATACTGAATTAGGTTTTGTATCTTTATGCACTGGATTAGTTTTTTTTGAAAATTCAATTCTTATAACCTATTCCGACTACAGGAAACCTTATTCTTCAATTCTTATACCGACTACAGGAAAATAACATTATATTCTTCATGTTACAGAAAATTGGATTCACACTACATGCTGCATCCATTTGACAGTAGATTATTTAAAAATTTTAAAAAAATATTTTTGTATTTTATTATTTTAACTAATAATAGATTTCTAATCATAATAATTTTTATTAAAAATCATTGTGGATTTATATTTTTTTTAAACATTTTGAAGTTTTTTTCAACATTTCCTTTGATTTGAGGAAAAAATTCCAAAAGTAAATCATTAAAAATAATTTTGGGTTAATGATTTGACAGATTTTTTCGATATAGTTAAACACTAATATGTTATTTACAATGCATAATATATGTTATTCGAAAATAATATTTTATTTGTTTTAGTGTGAATAGGGTTTTACTTTATTTTTAAATGGAGTTTAATTGTTTATTATGACTTGTCATAACTGCAAAAAACAGTATGTTCGAAAATTAAGAGATTTTGTAGCAGTCGTTCGAATATTCATTGAATGCAAAAAAATACAATTAACTAAAAACAAAAAATGTTCAACATCTACGATAAAATGCGTAAACTTTTTCAATTGCTGAACTTTTTTTAAAAATATAGAAGCTGTTGAAATTTTTCAAGAACAGCTTAAAATTATTTTTTACCTAATTTTGATAAGTCAGTATTTTATTTAAATGTAAAAAATACCTTAATCGTGAATGAAAAATTGTGAATCGTATATTCAGGGAAATTCCTTAATAATTGGTGTTATAATTTAGACTATTCCTCGTAAATCGTTTAAACGAAATATAGGGAAATTAATTAAAGGGATTGTGTCTTTACTAAAACTGAATCAAAATGTAATTTACTGTTCGTATTTTTGAAAATTTAGTTCTAATTAGTAAGTACTTCATATGAAGTGTGTTAGTTTAAAATTACCAAAAAGTGTACATATGTACTACCAATTAGTCATGTAAGAAATATGATTTATTTAAGTAAGCTTTTTCTAAGAACTTTTCGGATTTTAAAACAATACTGTTATTTCAGTTCTATTAGAATTGTTAGTTCAGTACAAACTTTTCAAAAATACCTTGTAATAAGATCCTACAATTCAACAGCTCATCTCATTTCTTGCCTAAATAATTTTCAGAAAACTTTGTAAGTATTAAAAATGAACTGGCCAATATAGTATTGTAGATAATACACATTTTGGGTAATTTTATGTAGTACAAGTTACTTTAAACTTGAAATAACAAAGAAAATTATTGTACAATGCAGCATCAATATGAAAACTCGAGTTATCATTTATATCAAAAAATTTAATGCAAAGAATTCTATTAAAATTTAAATAATTGGTCGTATTGATTTATTAACAGAGGCCCAGATAACTTGCAATATCTAAAGCGTTATATATATGAAATAAAAAATTTTTATTCGAAATTCAAAAAGAAATGTGCCATAACAATGAAACTACAATAAATTATGTTTATTGTCTTATTACCACTATTTTTTTTTATAAAGCTTCAATTTATTTTGAATTTATTATATAATTAATAATATTAATGAAAAAAAAGCAATTTCTTATATTTACACAAGATGAATTACAGAGTACTTTAATTATAGAACTAACTTATATAATATGTATGTATATCTTAATTCTTATACTACTAATATTTTTTTAATATATAAACATTTTAATGTTTTATTCAATTTACTTATATATCTAATAAACGTACCAAACTTTAAATGTATGTTACAATATATATTAATATAATTATGCGTATCATATTATATTTTAGGCTTACATTATTCGAACACTTTTTATCCAATAAATCATATGATTTATATTTTATTTTTGTATATTTAAATTTCTGTCTGAATTTTTACATACATACATATATATAATATAAAATTTGATATTTATATAAAAACCAATAAAAAATTATAGATTTTAAGAAATGCAATAATATTTTTGTATCTTTATTTAATATTTTCTTTGTAAATACTCAAATATTTCTATTTTTTTTAAATTTTTTGTTTAATATATATTTTATAAAATACATGATATGTATGTATGTAAATTTATATATTTTTTAATTTTAATCTTAAATGCATTATTTTGAGTAAAATTAATTTTTCATTAATTTTTCATTAATAATATAAAAAATGAAAATTACTTCTTCAGTGTATATAAAAAAAAATTTTTGGCAGTTTGTACAAGTGATTTCATTTTATTTTTTTATAATAAAATGAAAATATTTCGGGATCTGTAGCCTAAAAAACAAAAAAAAAAAAGTTGCGAGGCTCAATTCAAAATTTTTCTTTCGTGTACGATTAAAATTTAATAATAATATTTATTTTATTTAAACTTAAACTATTTTTTAATATTATGAATTATAAAGTAAACAAATTAAAGTATAAATGTTATTTTTTTATAAGAAAAATCATTTAAGTAGTATAAAACAAAACTTAGTTAACAATTTTGTAATAATTTACCAAGTATGACAATATTTGTATAATTAACGAAATATACGGGACATGAAATGTTTTTTTTTTGTTAAATATTTGGTCTATTTTAAAGTAAATTTATCTATTTAACAGTATGTAATATTATAGAAAAATTATATTTTGTTTATATTTATTTTTAAGGTTTTGGATATCTTATAAATTTTGTTTCCAGTATGAAATAAATGCGTATTCAAATTGTGTTTATCCTATTTCATAGATATCTTATTAAATAGATATTTTCTAAATATATTTCAAGACCTTTATTATATTAGAATTGCAAAAGAATTAAATAATTTAGATATTGTTGATTTATAAGCAAAATAATAGCATATGAAAAATATTTTCTATTTTAATGTCCTAGTAGAAAGCTGATAATTTACATTTTTACAATTTATAAATTTCATTCACAAATATTTTAAATGCACCTAAAATGCTCTTAAGTTATTATAAAACGAAATTGTACATGCATTTCTTTCATATTCTTGATAACCATTCATTACAAAATTACTTATCTTTGATTATACAATACATTTTTAACTTAAAAACTAAAAAAAAAAAAAAAATGAATATAAACGTATAATTTTCAATTAAATTAAATTTTAAAAAATTCCTAAAATTTTGTATTTTTCCCCCCTTAATTCATAATTAACATTAATATCTCTTATTTGACTTTATTAAACAATATAATAGTAAATTGATTTTTAACTTAAATTTAAATTTATTTTTTAGAAAAAAAATTTAAATACGAAAATTATTTTAACTTATAACTACTTTTTATTAAGCGTTACTTAGGTTACAATCATTCGAATCATAATTAATTATAATAAAAAAATAAAGGAATTAATTTACAATAATAAAACGAAAAAGTATTCAGATTTTTACACAATTTTTAATAATTTTTTTTTTTTAATTTTCAAAATAACTTTATGAATTGTTACAATAATTGATTATTTCAATTTAAAAAAAAAAAATTTACAAATGGACCAAATGGGTATGATAATAATAAACTTATCGACTAATGACTTAGGATTAATATAAAAAAAATTAAAGCCTGGTTATTAATTTGGTTTTTTCCCATGAAAAAAAATATGTATATTTTTAATGTATATATGTAATGTATATATATATATATTTATTTTATTTATAAAGGTTCCTGTTGAAAATATTCATGTTTAAGACATGTAAGAGCTGAAGGCCTTTTTTCAGGTTCGAAAGACAGCATTTTCTAAAAATTAATTTCAATTTTAATTGTATTGTATGTACTATATAAAAATACTTTCCAACTTACATATAATAAATCATTTGAGTTTTCACAAAGCTCTGGAAAAAGATCTTTTGGTTGTTTTGGATTTCTGTGAGGGAAATTACTCCTAGATATCGGTGATGAATTTGGCCATTGCAATAATGTTGGTCTACCAGTCAATCTAAATTAAGAAAAAATTAATAATTGAAGAATATTTAAGAAATATGCAGTTATTGTGGCTAAAAATTTTTAATGAATCAAAAACAATACAACATCTATCGTTTTTCATTCAATTCATTATAAATTTTACTGAATTTAATTTAACAATAGAATTTTGAGTAAATTTTCTTATTACATAATTAACAGCCCGCACATAAAATATGAATAAATAATATTATAAAATAATATTATCTTTAATTATTACAATTAATATCCCGTTCATATCATATATATTATTATATATATATATATATATATATATATATATATATATATATATATATATGTATATTTTTTAAATCTTACAAAAATATACGATCTAATTGATTTCCTTCTGAGGTACCAGGAAATATCGGTCTTCTACCAAACATTTCAGCAATTATACATGCCGTACTCCATATATCAACTGAACTTGTATAAGGTTGAGCTAATAATATTTCTGGTGCTCTATACCACAATGTTACAACAACTGATGTTAATTTCATTTCAAAATCATAAGTTTTAGCAAGTCCAAAATCTGCAATTTTTAAATGTCCTTGAGCTGATATCAATATATTTTGTGGTTTCAAGTCTCGATGAACAATTCGATGTGAATGTAAAAAATCAACACCAGTTAAAAGTTCTCGTGAAAAACGCTAAAAATAAAAAAACGTTTCTAATTTAAGAGATTTTTTTTTAATAATATTTTAAAATAGTTACCTGAATCCTAGATGCTGGCATCCCAGATTTTGGTAAACTTTCAATTAACATTGCAAGATCTTGTTCTAAATGTTCAAAAACTAAAAATATTACCAATTGACCTTCACGTTCCAAGCTTGTGCCATGGCACACTTCCAATAATCTAAAATTTTAATTGGAAAATAGATTAAATTATGAATTTTTTACAAAATTTGCTATGAAAAATATTAATATAAAATATTAGTTAAGGTACACAAGTGTAAATAAGTACTACAAATATTAAGTATATACTCATTTTGAGGTACCTTTTATCTATAGTACTAGCTACTCTTACATATTATATTGAAAAATGGTTAACAATTTAGTAGGTACATACACACATTCTATATTCTAATATATATGATATGTTGTGATTAAAAAATTATTATAACAACAGACCCCTATTTTCAATAAAATCAATCTTGAAATTTGGGGTATACTGCAGTATCGGTTTGTTTTGATTGTCAACTTTAAATTTTCAATATTCTTATTTTTTGAAAAAGTTGAAATTTAAAAATTTCGACTATCGAAGATTTAACGAATACTCTTATTTAGGAATTTATATTTTTACCTCATCTTTAATATTAAATATAATTCACCAAATACAACGAATAATCAAATTTCTCTTTCAAATATTAAACGCATAAAAATTTTTAAGAGCAAAACAAATATTAGAAAAAACAAAACTGGGAAATTTTTACGGTAATTTTTAACGATATTTAAAATTTGGGGTAAAAAAAATGTGCTTTTCTTGTATACGCAGAGTAATACAACAATATTATAAAATCATAAAAATTAATTTATGTATGGAGTTGTTTCGAAAATGAGAATAAATGTATTAGAATTGGAGAAAAAATGAATAAACACAATAATAATCATTTGTTTTAGAATATTCTTTATTTTCTCCGTATTCTCTCCAACATTCTTTTATTCTTTTATTTATATACCTTTACAGGTTCTACATAAAAATAACAATGTATTTAAAAATATCAAATTTTTTTTTTTTTTGCTTACACATATGTTTTAAAACATATATATTATATACATACATCTAATATACATATTTGCGATCATATATCATAAAATATGGGTTTGAAAAAATGTGTGAATATATAATATATAAGTAAATAAATTGTATATATTATTAAATACGAAAATTAATACCCAACACTTCTCCATTTTCTTATCGCTCGACTCGCGAAATTTTTTTCTTTTTCATTTTCTTTTCGTTGTTGTTTTTTTTTAATTTATTTTGTTTGTTTTTGTGTTTTATTTTTTATATACATACATACATATATTGCTTTTTAGCTTTTGGATTTTCGCTAAATAATATAATATCCGAATGTTAAGATCGAGCCGACGAGAACGGCGGATGACAATCACAAAAATATTGCCGGTAGAAAGAAAAAAAAAAATTTATTTTTGTTTTTTTTTTTTCGTTTTCTTTTTTATTATTTTTGCAAAAAAGCAGCTGTATTGGCTTTTTTGTTGTTGTTGTTTTTATAGTTATTTTTATTTTTGTTGTTTTTTTTTTTGTGTTATTTGAATTTTTTGTTTCGTCTTTTTTGACTTGATTTGAGGTAAATATAAACACACAATAAAATACGCACATATAAAATGTTGAGTGTATATACAAATGGATAAATATATAACACTTATGCATTTACATATGTATGTAAGTATGTTGAGTATATTTCCATATATGTATACATAATTAGTAATTACTATATCGAAATATATTTTCGGATATATGATATCGTATATATGATATCTATGTATATATAAATTAAATGTAAATACTGATTATATACTTTTATTTTATTATCATGAAAATATATAAAAAAAATTTAAGTTAAATAGAAAACGTAGAAATATAATGGCACGTAGTATATATGTACCTACAAGAAGGCAAGCAACAATGTGATGAAAATAGTGATATTTTTCTTTATGTAATTTTGGAGTGAGTGATATTATAATAATTCTTTCTACAAAACAAGAAAAGAAAAAAAATAAAACAAAAATTTTATATTTAATAAGAAAACAGAAAACAAAATAAAATGAAAAATAAATAATCATAAGGTCGCGATATAGCTCCAGTCAATAACCAACTATAAGGTATTCGAAAAAAAAATCTTTAGAATTTACGTAGACAAAACACGCAAATTTAAATGATGATCATCACCGTCACAAACAATACCACATAAAATATCAGAAGGAATGAAATGAAATATTATATACACAATATATATATAAAGAATATCTATATAAAATAAATTTGTATACATATTTGTATGCGATATAGAAAATATATATATATGTACATATGTATGTGTATACATACAATATAATATACAAAACAGAAAATTTCTCATCTTTTTACTCATGTGAAAAAATATGAGGTAATTTTAGGGGGAGAAAGAATTCACTTTTTTCAAATAAAAGTAAATTATTATTAATAAAACCAAAAAAAAAAATGAAAACAAAAAATAATAACAACAATAAACTATGCGTAAGCGTAAGTGAATTTTTGTGTGAATAATAATTAAGAAAAGTTGTTATACAAAGGCGAAGAATTAAAAAAAAATAAAATAAACAAATAAAATTAAAAAATAATTCGGAAGTAAGACGGCTTTTTTCTTTTTGTTTTCAAGAAAAAAAAAGGAAAAGCAAACAAATTTGTGGTTGCCGTCTGATAAAAAAAATTTCTGTCCACTTTTTTGTTTTAAGTACGCAATTATGTGGGTACACAAATATACATTCATACATTTTTCTACATATGAACATAATTTACTCGCTCATTATAATTACGCACATTGCTTATTTTATGCCGTGGACTTTCACAGACTTCCGAATGAGTAATAAAAATAAAAATAAAAAAAAAATTTATTATGTATTTAATGACATTATTTTTTTGTGCGAATTTGTTTTATACATAAGTACTTATGTACATACATACATATGTAAATTATGTACGCATACCTATGTATATGAGAATTAAAAAATTAAGTGCTCTTCAATAAAAATTAAATTTGTCATATTTAATTTGAAATATTTTTTATATTTTCTGTTTTTTTTTTGCCATTTTTATTTATTATGTATGTATGTATGTTGGTATTCTGAAATCCTGAAAAATTTTAAAATATTTTTGAAACAAGGTAAATCAAAATTAAATTTCTACGGGATGCTACTGCATATCATTTAAAAATGTGAAAAAATTATAATTATTAATGAAAATTTAAATTGTGGGGGTGTAGGGATAAGTAGGACAATATGACAATAATTAGTAGGTGTATTGCACTTTACATAATTCATCTAGGTATAAATATTTAAGTATTTTCAGACTGGTATAAAAAAAATTGGATTTCAATTATAACACAGTTAACTACCTATTAAGATTTTCAATATTGTTTAGAATACATATTTATATATACATACATATGTGTGTATGTGTATAAGAAATTATTTGTTAATTTTGAATGTTTTTGATGTTTAATAATCTCATTAATATACCTAAAATAAAAGTTAATATAATAATTACAACACCGGAATTTTGAATATTATTTTTATTTTTAGAATAAATTATCAATAAAATTAAATTATAACAAAAATTCATTCAAATCAAATCAGAAGCTTTTAAAAGTTGAAATTCTTTGATAGTAATGACAAAAAGATGTTAATTAAAAAATTTTCATTTAGGCAGCGTCAAAATACGATAAGGATGGACGCTTACGTATAAAACTGAAATTGAAATGAAGTTCAAACTTTGCGTCAAAAATTAATGGTTTTGCTACAAAAATTATAACCCAAATAAAAATCAGCTGATAGTCGATCAAAAATCCCACAAAAAACCTGACAGTAAATTTGATGAGAATAGAGTAATTTTTATTATTTCACGTCAAATGAAGTTTAATGTCAAAAATTCTTTATGATATAAATAAATATACGACTTTCATCATGCTTAAATTAAATCTTAGATTTTGTAGTAAACTTTAATTAATAAAAGAAATTTATTTCTTAAGATTACTCAAAAAAAATAAATACAATAATACTCCAATGTTGCTAAGGAAAATAGCTGAATAAAAAAATGAGAAATAAGAATTCTTTCGTATAAAACAAAAATTATAAATGTCTGCATCCTTATACGGAAAATCCGTGACTTCTTTCGCTTTCAAGACATTTTTTTTGTAAGAGTATAATTTAATTCGTTAAATAAATAAACACCTGAGTAGAAAATAAACTATAAATTAAAATAAAAATGAAATCATTTTGTTTAACAATCATCTTGTTGTAAAATTATTTATTTTATTCGGCCAATATTTGATTTTGTCTTTTTTACTTTATAATTAACATAAAAAAAGAAATATTTACGTGTTTTGATTGAACACAGGACACCAAATTAAATTTTGCTTATAAATTTTTTTAATTCAAAAAAATTTTATAACAATTGAAAATTTCAGAGAAGGAACACTTGAAAAATTTTGAATACAAAGACTACAGGAGCTCTTCTTTTTAACTTACATAGTATTTGAAATATCGGCCATTTTATTAAATTTAATGAAGATCAAAATATTTTAAATGGTTTAAAACTCTCGTGGACTATACTCGACGTAATATTATTTAAAATAATTTAATATTCATCGATATGGTGTCAATATATTCATACCTTAATGTGTATGAGCATATTGGAAGGAGACTTTAAAATAAGGAGTACTTAAATACATATTCGACATACAATTGATTCATTCTGCTATCAAATTTAAATATTGCTGAATAAATTAAATTGATATCTAATTCCTTTTAAGGTAAACTCTAACTTGATTTTAAAATTGTACTTGTAAACTCTAAATTTCAATATTAATTAGATTCCATATTCAGAATTTTACTACTGCAATTTCCGTATTTCTGCAATTTTGAGGTAATGCTTCAATATCGGTCTTTAAGTCTAAAAAAAATATACTAAAAAATTATTTGAAAAATTGAGAGATAAGAAATTTTATATTTTTATGGTAATAAATTAAAGAAACTATTAGAGCATTTAAGATCCCATTGTAGAAATTAAAATTTCATTTTTCATAATTTGTTAATTCTTTTTTTTTTTTAATAATATGTTTTGTGAGATTATCGGAAATTTCATTCAAACAAAAACGTAAAAATCAAAAATACACATTCATATTCATTCATTCATTGTAACGCTATTATCATAATAAACAGAGATTGGAGGTTCTAGCAAAACACAAAATTATTCAGGAAGTAGGTAATAAAAAAACAAAAATAAATATAATTAGAAATAGAAAAAAAATTCTCAACATTTTATATTTTCTACTTTTGATATTTCTTATAAAAATATTGATAAGAAAGCATTCAAAATTATTAAGTGAACTTTTGAGTCCTCAAATCAACAGAAAGGCAGCGACTTTGATGTACTCTAATAAATATATGTGATGTGTTTGTTTATGTTTATTTATCTATACATATTATGATCAAAGTATATTAGTAAAAGGTGTAAGAAATTTCATTTTTAAAAATGATTTTTGTGAATATTTGGATAAAGAAATACTTAAACCAATTGAAGGCTTTTAAAAATTAAAAAACCACACTTCTGATTACTTAATTTAAAATGGAAAACTGTTAAGGGCATTAAATGGAACTACACTGCTCAAAACTTGACGAATGTGTACCGAACTTGAAATTATCAATGATAAATCCTCAATTTTAATAAAAAAATTATGTGAATAATGAAATGAGATACCATTTTACACTTTTAAAGGTTTTTACTTAGAATATCAAAGTTTACTTAAAAAGCTGATTAACACTAAGATAATTACAAATTTTTAATAATTTACTAAAATAATAATGACAAGAAAAAAAATAATTATGATAATTTTAAAATTATTAATGCTTTCAATATTACAATGTAACAAAATAGTGAATAAAATAAAATTTTATGACAATACAGGGTATACACGAATAGGTAGAAAACATGTTTGTTTTATTTGTAATTATGATCAATGTTGAGTAAAATAAATTGACTGGTATGGAAAATATAAGATTGAAGTGAAATTTAAATAACAATGGGGCTTATTCCAAGTATTGAATCACTAAGTGATGGTCATATTTATTGTAAAAGTTTTGAAAATCTTATTATAGGAACGAATCATTTGTATGAACTGATTTGTGTTTACAATAATAATATCAGGTTTTTTACGATAAATGTCACTCAAAATAAGCCCAAATAATTACTTTCTATTCTACTAGTTTATTAAACTCTTCTTGTACAATATTTTCTAAATAAAATATATAAGTGTGTACTCTTTACAGCAATTACAATTTATGTAAGTAATTATAAAAAATGTAATGAAATTGGAACAAAATCAAATACTCATACATTTAAAAATTAGGATACTTATTTGAATGACATCCTTTAAGGACGATTGAGTATATTAAAATTCTGAAGTCTATTATAATCCATTTACTAAATTACGACACTAATACAGTAAGAACATTCTAATTTTCATGATTTTGTTTAAAATTCCTAAATTTTAATAAATAAATTTATAAAATTTTATATTTTTATTTTTCAATTACAGTTCGGACTTACTTAACGATATTCGGATGCTGAGATGAATCCAATTGTTTTAATAATGTTATTTCACGTAAAGTTGACATCGGAACACCATCATCTGTTAATGTGACACGTACTTTTTTTATTGCCACATAATGTCCAGGATTATTCAAATCACGAGCTCGATAAACTGTTCCATAAGCACCTAAAAATTTCATAAAAATTAAACATTTTTTATTTTTACAAAAATTTTTTATTATTTTTTTTTTCAATTCAAATAAGTAAAAAAAAAATGTTTGGTAAAGTATGTGACATTTTTTTATGAAAATGTTGCTATATTTTATTTTAAATATATTTTATATTTATATTAATTTTCTATGTGTTCAAATATATATGTATGTATGTATGTATATAATTATAATAAAAAAAATGCGTATATAAAGAATTTAAATTCGATTTAAGTAGTTTTTTTTTCTCGAGATTTTTTTTTAACTATAAAAAAGCAAAAAAAAAAAATGTTTTACTTAAAAATATAATCATCCTGTTTACTTATACTTCTCTAGAATACATAAACGCGTTAATAGGGGAAATTATTTCAATTTCGAATTTTTAATGACAGTGACAGCGAACTCAAACCATCTATACACAATATATTGAGTAAAGAGAATTAGATAATAAAATTTATGATTCATACAATATTGAAAATATTTGAGTTAAAAGAGAAAAGTATCGAATCGAAATATACAAATAAGGGGGGTTCAAGGTCGAACGTGCAAAGATCTTTATGAAAGAATGTTTTTTTTTTTTATTTTTGGTTTATGTTAAATTTTTTTTTTTTTTTTGGCAAATTTAAAATAATAAATTATATAAAAGGTTCATATACATATATAAAAATTCCGAGCCTAAAAATTAAATTAATTTAATTTTTCTGCGTAAATTTTTCTATATACATAAATGAAAGTAATTATGTAAAATATTTGTTAGAAAGTTAAATAATTATTATAATAATTTATGTAAAATATTTTTGTAATTGAATTTTAGTTTGAAAATGAGGTAACGCTATTTTGACAACCAAAAGAAACATTTGTATGTACGCACTACACACATGTTGTACTTATGTCTATAATTTGGAACTCAGAAGCTGATGGAATACAAGAAATACATTTTACATACAAGAAATACAGTTTTAAATTAATGAACATCAAATTTAATTTCTCTACATTTTGTTTAATGGAGTATATACACGGTATAGAGTGCTATAAACTAATTATTGTGTAATTAAATATTGTAGTTTGTAAAGGCTATATTGTGTTGTATGGGAATTCTGTTATACAGGAGTAAAAATCATTTTATAAAATTCAAAAATTATTAATTTAACTTTTATTTTACATATTTAAAGTATAACGCTATCTACACAAAAAAATATTAACTACACACATTCTTTATATCATCCGCATTTCTATATACACATACGTATATTTACATGATTATATAATATTCCTTTGTTACTAGTCCTGTTACGTTAGTATGTGCCAATCAGTAAATGTGAAGTGTTATGCGATTGAAATTGTATTTACCCGTAAGACAAACAGAAATATGAAAAATTAATGACATGTGACAAATTAATATGAGCAGAATGAAGTGTCATAACATAATTTTACCCTTTTAAAGTAACCTGAAGTTAATCTTAGGTAGTATTTCATTCCGGAAAAATAGTTCAAAATTTTAACAATAGGGTAAAATACATTGGATTGTATTTTAAGAAATAGTTATGTATGTACATATATATGTATACCACAATAAATACAAGTTCAATGAAAGGAAAAGGGAATTAAATTTTTTTTTTGTTGAAATAGTCTTTCTTTCTCTTTCTATTCTATTATTTTCTTAATGAAGTTATAAAATTTCTTTAGAATTTCTTTTAATTTTTTGTTTAGTGTAATAGTATAACAAAATTTTCTTGATATTGATCTTAAATATGTATAATTATTTATGCGAAATATTTTATAAGCATATTTATATATACGAGTGTATGTAGATATATGTAAGTACATAAGATGAATTTCTTGATTTTCTTAAATAGTAAACAACATTATATTATGTAGTATGCAAGTATGTATATAAAGTAGAGCTTTTGAAGAGCAGATATAATTTTTATGTAAATTTTATTAATTATGTTGATATTTTGATTAAAGATAATTTTTTTAGATCGATTCATCTACATTTGTGTGTACATATGTATATGTACATATCATAAATATATGGGCTTATGATAATGTTATGTATGAATAATTTACTGTTTAGTGTTTGAGCAAGTGTTAAGAAGGTTAAGTTGTATTTTTTTTTTGTTTTCTCAATTTTCTTTCCCCTTCTTTATTTTAGTCCATAAAAATCTCATTTTTTTTTTTTTATTAAAGTTTAAAAACTGTTAGACTTTTTTTTTGCAAAAATAAGCTTTACTTGGATCAATGACCTTCACAATCTACATAAATGTAGATACAACGTGTATATTTCGCACATTATTTCGAAAAAAAAGATATTATAAAAGTTGAAGTTATTAAAAAATAATTTTTTATTAATATCTTTATTTTTTATTCTAAGAAAATGGAACTTTACTTGTTTGTATGTGAGTATGTATGTACATATGTAATTAAAATAAAGAACAAAGCATGTTCTTGTTGAAAGAACAAAATAAAAAATTTTATATTTTGTGAATGAAAATGAAAATTATACTTTAATGAAAATAGTATTTAAAAGTAAGTGGAGAGGTTAGACGTGTAATCCAGAAGTTAAAATTATTTAATGCCTACGATGATTAATAAAAATGGCAATAGTATTTCAAATAAGTATGTTGCCTTTTAGGGTCAGTATGGTTTTGGGAGTGTGGCATAAAAATTTGTCACCCTATTTTAGTATACACACATGGTTTAGAGAGAGAAAAAAAAAATAGTTTTGAAATGTGTGGAGAAATTTCACATATCAAATTTTAATTCTTGGGATAACAGCAACAAATTTACATTTTCGACCGAAGAAATACTTTTCATAATAAAGCCTTAAGTAGATTCTGAACAAATATTTTATTTTGAAAGCTAATCACGTTTTAAAAAGGTCGATTCCTCTTAAATGTTAGAACTTGTTCTATTTTTACAACTTCAAAGTACAAAGAATTGTTTAAAGCGCTCATTTTCATAACTGATTGCATATTTAGGAATTAAATAATTTAATTTTCAGTGTGAATAATTGGCTGTTAAGGATTATTTCTTAATAGCCCTATATTACATGTTACCCTAAACCATTTGACGTTACGTATAGGGTAACAGATCATTACATTATTAAGAACGTGATTAAAACAAAACTTAATTTTTTTTTTATTTTAATTTCTAATTATTTCTTAATTAAAGAGTTTCTCTTCTTAATTAGAACGCTCGATTCTTTTAAAAAATTTTGCAAATTTGGAATTCCATTTCTGGGCTAGACCTATTTAATTTAATTTGTTGTGTAACAGAAAGTGGAACATCAATGAATATCACAACATTTGCAATCGTCTATTACATATATGCACTTACATTTTCGAAAATATTAGAATACAAATTATTCATTTCTAAAGAGAAAACTATTTCAGTTTACATTACAGACTCTTACAAATTAAAATAAAATTATTGAAATTTTTCAAAATTTTTTAATTTAAAACAAATAAAAAATTAACATAGATAGATCACAAAAAAAAAAAAAAAAAAAAAATCAAGCAAAATTTTTCTAATCAAAAAAAGCGTCTATTAAAAATTAATTTGCGAATTTTTCTAAATACATACTTGCGTTTGTATTTTGTGTCTATAAAACGTTATTGCTAATTTCAAAACATATCTAAATACATATATGTACATATGTACATATACGAAAGTTAAGTAAGTATTTCATAATATTATAAATAACTAATACGTGTGCTTGTTTAGTATATACATATAGGATTGCAAAAATAAAAAATGGTGATGATGACTAAAAAACTTTTTATTAAGATTATGAAATTATTTACAAAAACAAAGTTAATGTGAAATAATATCACTTACATACATATATAAGAACTTTTGAACTTTAAAATTGAATACTGAGTTGCAGTACGTAATGTAAATTAGTAGATGGAACAAATAAATTGTAATCTATAAAATTCCTAGAAGTGTTTTGCATTAAAAAAATAAAATTTAATTGAAATTTCATTTCATTCATAAATAAAAAATGAATTATTTTGCAAATTATAATTTCAGTGAGTAATTTCACCTTTGTATTTTATTATCAAATAAAAATTGTTTTAATTCATTTTATAATAAAATATTACAAAATTTAATAAAATAAGTTATTAATTTACTCAGTTCATTGTTTTCCAATTTATTGATGTACCATCATCACGAGAAATGTTTTCTGTAATGAAGAAAATGCAAATTTTGATAATGTATGAAGTTTTATATTGCGTCTTAAAAAAAAAATTTATAATATTATGCGTACCGAATAGCATAAAACGATTTTCAAAACGCAAAGAAAAGTAAATTTTACATTCAAAAAGTTCAGGATACTTTTTGTAAATTAATGGCAACAAATATGACTGACAGTATTACATGACAAATATAATACCGAAAATGACAAATATGACAGACAGTTTGTTATTATTTAAATTAACTTAACGCTAATTTTTGACATTTTATGTTAATTTGGATGTACGAAATTAGCAATATGCTTGAAATTTAACAAGAATTAAGATAATACTTAAAATAATATTTATAATTCCAATTTGGAAAGAGATGTCTACGTAAAAAATTAAATTTAAACCCCGAGATTTAAAAAAAAAATATTTTATTTTCTTGACAATGCAGTGTCAATACGGAATTTATATTTTTAATGGTTTTCAGGTGATCATTTGTGTGTGATTAAAAGTTATTTCGAAGTTCATGATCTCTGGGAACTTTTGGAATATTAATTTAGTACCGTGAATAACAAACTGAATAGCATTGTGAACCTACAATGTCACATAAAACATTTAAAACTCTTAAAGTTTACAATTCTCAATTAAACAAGGGTAAATTTTAAATATAATATGATTTAATTTGTTGATATCGTGCCGATTCAACACTATTTCTTAATTTCAATTTCTAATAGGGAATTATAGAAATAAAAAAAAATATTATTTACAATAACAATGACTAATAATTTAAG